CCTTAGGGTTTTTAACATAGATGGGTGTTGTATTTCATGGAAGACTTTTTTCTGCATCTCTTGATATAATCACATGATTTAGTCATTATTGTTATATGTTATGTTAATAGCATTCCTAAAATTGACCATCTCTGCATTCCTGGTATAAACCCAACCTGGTCAGAATGTATAATCTTTGTGATAAATTGCTAGTAGTTTAATTAAAATATTTACATCATTATTCCTTAGAAATATTAGTTTATATTTTCCCCCTCTACTTTGACTTTTCCTAGTTTACATAATAAGACCATATTTTTATCATAAACTTATAGAAGGATTAGACTTTGTCCATTTTGGCCCAGAGGATCAAACCAGAAGTGATGATTGGGAGCTGCAGAGACAAATTTTGACTCCATGTCATTAAAAACTTTCTAACAATTAGAGATGACTAGAAGTAGAATGGGTTGCCTCAAGAAGTCATAGATTCCCCCTCCATGAAAGTCTTCAAGCAGAGACTGGATGACTATTTGTGGAAAATGTTATTATAGAAGGGATTCCCTTGGTTTACAGGTTGAACTCAATGGTCTAAAGGAGCAGTCTGTATCACCAGTTACTTACTGGACAAGGCTACTGCTCCACTGGATGTTCCACTTGAACTGCTCTCTGACTTGGATCTAAGGTAGTATTTGCTCTTTTCGCCAAAAAAAAAAAAAAATGTTCCCTAAGTCTGAGACCTGCAGCTCATTTGGTTCACTTCTCATTATTAAGCCATTGGTAGCAGTAAAGATCATGGTAGACAAGTATCTGCTCGGTTTCCCCTCTCTTAAGCCAAAGGTGAGGGCAGTTAGGTGGCATAGTGGATAGAGCACTGGGCTTAGAATCAGGAAATCTCATCTTTGTGAGTTCAAATCCAGCCTCAGACACTTATTAGCTATATGTCCCTGGGCAAGTCATTTAATTCTGTTTGCCTCAATTCCTCATCTATAGAATGAACTAGAGAAAAAACTGGCAAGCCACTCCCATATCTTTGCCAAGAAAACCCCAAATGGGATCATGAAGAATTGTACACAATTGTAGAATGACTCAACAACAACAACAACAAAAGCCATAGGTGGGCAGTAAAGGTCAAAGCAAATTAGCCTGTCCTTTTCCCCAGCCAGCTCTGTTCAACAACAGAGGTGTCTTCTTCTTCCAATCAGCTCCCACAGCAACATGTCCTAAAATCAGCTCCCTAAAACAATTTTCCTCCAATTAGTTCCAAGCAACATAGTTTTTTCACCAATTATCTTAGTAGGAGGTTAGGGTGGGTATAGAATTCAAGCTCTAAGCTCTTTTATCAGCTCTCTTCCATTCAGCTTATCTTTTCTATGAACCATTTGTTTAGTTGGACTGTTTAGCTAGATTCCTTTCAAATAGCATGGGAAAAATTCAGTTCCCACTTACTCCTTTCTTTCTCTCTCTCTTTCTTTCCTTCTTTCTTTCTTTCTTTCTTTCTTTCCTTCCTTCCTTCCTTCTCTGCTTTTGGTTTATTCTGTCTTTGGTTTCTGTCTACCCTATTTTTTTAGTGTTTCTTGCCTCAAGACAGTACAAAGCTTGTGTATTTAACATGAACCTTTTTCAGATGTGCCTTTTTGTTTTGTCAGGCAGATGTCTTTAACTGATGAGTTGCCTGTTGTGGAGAACAAAGCTAATATGCCACATATGCACAGTTTTGTTTACATTGTATATTCACAGACGATGCTAATAATCCATATAAATTTAAGTGACTCAAGGCCTTTAATACAATCTGCTACTTTACAAATTCATACCATTCAAAGGAAAGTTTTCAATGGAATAGCAACCATGTCTTGATTTCAAAACCTAATGACCTACTCCCTGAATCTCACTGCATTTATTGTAATTTTTAAGATTCTTTTTTGAAAATTGGTAGTATTTGTCACCTTTATTAAAATTTTTACACAGAAAAAAAGCTTTTCCCAACCCATCTTAATTCTAGTACCTTCCCTCTGTAAATTATTTCCTAAATATCCTATTTATGGCTTGTTTGTATTTATTCTTTATTATCTTTCTCCATTAGATTTCAGATTCTTGAGGGTAGGGACTGTCTTTTGCCTCTTTTTGTGCCCTCAGTACTTCGTACAGTGCCAGGTACCTTTTGTTCTTTAGTCATGTCTGACTTTCCATGACCCTATTTGAGGTTTTCTTAGCAAAGATACTGGAGTGGTTTGTCATTTCCTTTACCAACTCATTTTACAGGTGAGAAAACTGAGGCAAACAGGGTTAAGTGACTTGCCCAGGGTCACACAGCCAGTAATTGTCTGAGGCCAGATTTGAACACAGGAAAGTGAGTCTTTCTGACTCTAGGCCAGACACTCTATCTACTGTGCCACCTATCTGCCCCTACCTGGCATATAGTAGGGGCTTAATAAAATGTTACTGATTAACTGACTGGTTGGAATAGTAGGCATAAGTCAGTTGGTAGGGCTATGTTATTTTGCTTCCAGTGAACTATGAATATGGAGGCAAGCACCTCTCTACTTCTTTGCAGGGCTCCAAAGAAAAACAATGCCCTGTTTCCCTAAGGCCACAAAAGAAGGGTGGAATGATGTCCAAGGCAATATATCACTAGAGTGGAAAATCTATTAAATATTTATGGTAGAATTCAATGTTCTCCATTGTCCAGAAAATACCAGTGACAGAACTGTGAGTTGAATCCTGGGAAGCTCTTAGAATTCTCTCTAGTGACATCTTGTCCAGACCAGGTAGGAGACCCCTTAACAAAGGGTTGGGCTAGGAGATAGTAAGTTAGAGGAAAAAACCTATAGGTGGGACTAGAAGGGCTGGTTACTGGTATTGTAGAAAGGAGGCTGGACTTGGTGCCAAGAGAGATTAGGGTTTGAATACCATCTCTGGCACTTAGCTTGTGTGAGCTTGGGCAAGTCATTCAATCTCACTTTCTTCATTGGTAAAGCATTGCTAATTATATCTGTATTTCCAATCTTACCTATAATTCTGCCCTTTGTTCTGAGGATCAAATGAAATAATGTGTGTAAAGTATTTTACAAATCTCAGAGAGTTATCCAAATGTTCTCTACAATTATTAAAAAGAAAGATGAAAGGCAATAGAGGTGCTATTCCTGGTGAGAGGAGCAGAGGACAACCTGAATAAGAGAGAGATGAAACAGAATTGGCTTTGCCTGGGGGTATGAGATATTCATGAGTATAGAGCCCCATATCCATCATGCTGTGCTCTATGTTGAAATCTTTTTTCAAGATGTGAGCAAAAGAAAGGCACTGGGGGATCCTGAAGCCCAGAGAGCTACTGTACTCCAGCTGTAGCTTAAAGGAACAAGGAAAACCAATTAATTAAGCTGACCTATAGAGCTCAAGGTACAATTAAATTTAGCATGTATTAAGATATTCATAAAGCATTATGCTAGGTGTTGGGAATATATGATGTCTGCTTGTCAAGAGTTTGTATAGTCAAGGAGGGGGTATGAAATGTGTATACAAATAACTATAATAAAAACTAGAATATGGTTAGCACACAGAAAAGATGAAAACACTAGCATAAGAAATTTGAGGAGGGAGAGATAATTTCTAGTTGAGATAATCACCAGAATGTTTCATGAAGGAGCCCTGAAGAAAGAGAAGAATATCAATAGGCAGAGATGTGGGAGTGGGAATCTGTATTAATAAAGAGGGGATATGTATGCATATGCATGGAGGAGGGAGGTGGGAGAGAGAGAGAAAGAGAGGAGAGAGAAAGAGAGAAAGAGACAGAGAGACAGAGAGAGAGAGATTGGGAAATGGTTCAGTTGTACTGGAGCATAAAATATGTGAAAAGAAATTGTGTAAAAAGACTGAAAGAGGCCAGGGAGGGGGTGGGAGGACCAGCACTTTATTCAGTAGACATGTGTGAACCATAGAAGATTCTGAGCAGAGTAATGATCACTAAAATGCAAACTCTTTGAGAACAGGAACTGTTTTGACCTGTTCTTTGTGTCTCCACTGTTTAGAGCAGTGATGGGCACATCATAAATGCTAAATAAATGATTGTTGACTAATCGACCTAACCAAAATTATGTGTTAAGGAAATCACTTGAGTTGTGATAAGAAGTACCACTGGAGGTGAGGTGACCAATTAAGAAGATATTAAAATAATCTTATTGTTCAGTCACACCTGACTCTTTGTGACCCCATTTGGGTTTTTTATTTGGCAGAAATACTGGAGTGGTTTGTTGTTTCCTTCTCCAGTTCATTTTAAAGATGAGAAAACTGAGGCAAACAGGGTTAAGTGACCTGCCCAGACGAAGTGTCTGAGGTCAGATTTGAACTCAGGTTCTCCTCACTCCAGGCCTGGCATTCTATCTACTGTGTCACCTAACTGCCCCACTAAAATAATCTAGGGGAGAAATAATAAAGGTCTGAAATAGATTGGTGGCAGGGTAAAAGAGGGGGCTAGAGCTTTTGCAGGGGTATTTGTGCTGCAGGAAGATGAGAAGAGTGTAGAAATACCCCTGGTGCCTTATTGAGGTCCCTAACATAGGCTTTAGGAGTTAAGAGTGGACAGGAAAGGCAATACCTCCTAACACTCCCTGATCATAAGCAGACAAAATATTTGAAGAATATTTGAACTGGAAGAGCTCTGCTGTTTCCATTCAAAGTCCTTCACAACCTGACTTCAACTTACCTTTCCTGCCTGATCTCACATGACTCCCCAAACTTCTCTTCCCTCCTTCAAAATATTAGGTCCAGATAAAATGGCCTACTCAATCAATGTTAACCACATGCAACATTCCAGCTCTTGCCTCCATGCCTTTACTAGAGCAGGGGTGGGGAACCTGCAGCCTTAAGGCCACATGTAGCTAGAGTATAGCCTATCCTCTTTGTATAGCCACTAGAAAGGGGGTCTCCCGATTTCTAATTAGATGCTTTTCTCACAACACAACCTTGGTTCCACTTCTATTCCAGTGGTCCAACCCTCTTTGAATGCTGGGACACATCTGGCCAGAGCCACCATGTGGGCACTGATAGCCTTGCTGCTGCTGGGTGAGTCTTTCCCTATCTATCATTATGTTATTGGGTGGAAGACAAAGGGAGGAGGCATTCTAGGGCAAATCCTCTTGAGCTTTGAGTGTTTAATCTTGGTGCTCCACTCTGTGGACAGACCATAGCTTAGTCTTCAGGCTATTCATGCTAGACACCATTTATAGCTCAATGTCAAGAATGTCTGCTGTTATTATTTTGATGTTTAACACTGTCAGAGGCTCATCAACCATCAAAACCCAAGCCTCTTTAGAGGGCAAAACTTTAAACATGAGCAGAAAGCCTGGGGGGCTTAAGCTAATTTTCTTTTCCTATTTTCCATGAAGCTGCCTGGTCTTACCCTCTCTTTCATTGATTGCCAACTTCTGATCTTTTACAGATCCAAGGATTGGAAGAGCTGGTGAGTCCTCTACATACTTTCCTCCCAGTCCATTTTCCCCTTCCTGCCCACCCCATCCCATGCATATATCAGTTTCTCACAGACCCTAAACTATATGCTCTGAGTGTTGGAAGATTGCAGGGCTAAGTGGACAGGATCCTTGGGTACAGGCTATTCTGGAATGTTGCCCATCCTTACTACTACCTAGCCTATTTGGTCTAGCCTATTTGGTCCAGTTTGCCAAAGACTCTGCATCCAAGTAAGCATTCAGGACAGCGTGCTTTACAAATTGATTAATTGACCTACTGACTAAATTGCTTCTAATCAAATGATGATGGTCAACTCTATTCCCAGAGGTAGTTAGGGTTTCTCCAACCTGGGATTAAGTTCTTTGGGCTTCTTGACTTTGGCTCTCTCTTTACAACATTCTCTACAGCCACCATGGATAAGCCCATTCTGTCCTTGCACCCACCCTGGACCACAATCTTTAAGGGGGAACGGGTAACCCTGAGGTGTGATGGGTACCACCCCTTGCTCCTGGAGCTCCGGCCAATCAGCACATTGTGGTACTTGGGGCACCTGCTACTTCCCTCACATAAGAAGAGCATCGAGGTGCAGACACCAGGGGTGTATCGATGTCAGACCCGAGGGGCACCTGTCAGTGATCCAATCCACCTCTCTGTGTCCAATGGTAAGTGGGTTGAGTATAATGGGAGGGCATAGCACATATCCTGGGAACATATACCAAGGAGATACATATTCTGGGAATTGATGCCAGTTTTCCTACAGAAGAAGATATATTCCTAGTGCTATTCCGCTTTAGATAAGAAAGCTGATCATCCTGGCATCAGGCAAATCAGTAGAAATAGTTCAATAGTTGGTGGAGTTCAGGGCCCATATTACACATAGGCTTAGTAGGTAGCCACCTACATGATATGACATGAAAGGCACAACTGCCCCCAAAGTATATCCCCATACCCTAAAAATGGTTTCTAAAAATCCTACCATTAGAGCTATGTTTTATAGTTAAGGCATTAATTACTAAAGGTCACTGTTAAAATTTGAGTATGTTCCCCAGGGGAGATAGCACTTCAACATAACATCCAACCAGTACATTAGTACAGATTTATTTATAAGGTTAATTTATAGACAGCTAGATCTTGAGAGAATCCCACCTTTTCATATGATGAAGAAAAAAAACGGGAAAATACGGGTTTCTGGGCAGCTAGGAGTAGCATGAGGATGTGGGACTCCCTTGGAGAAGGAAGACAGAAGTGATGCCTACAAAAACAGCTCCCTATTTCATAGGATCATAAATTTAAAGGAGGTAAGGAACCTTAGAGATCATCTTACAGAGACACAGAGAAGTGAAGTGAATTGCCCAAGGCTCCACAAGTAGTAAACAGCAGAACTGGAATTCAAACTCAAATACTCTGATGCCAAATTAGCCCTCAGGATCACGCCACTCTGCCCTTTCTTTTCTTCCAAGTTCCCCTTCCCTAGGGCTAGTCCTCTTGGAGCTTAGTGTAGAGTGGGATAGATTCCACTGGAACTTGATTAATTGTGCTCCAATCTTAGGTCTCACCTGTCCCCTACCCTGCCTTCCCTTCTTCCCTAAAGTTATTATCCAGTCCCAGGGAGGGACACTGAATCACAAGATCCTAGAGTTTGAATGGCCTCCTCAGAGGCCATTTAGCCTAACTCATACAAAAATAAGAATTCCCTAGGGCAGGTAGGTGGTGCAGTCAATAGAGTGCCAGCCCTGAAGTCAAGAGGACCTGAGTTCAAATCTGGCCTCAGACACTTACTAGCTGTATGGCCTGGGCAAGTCACTAAACATCAATTACTTCCAAAGAACAAAAAACAAAAAAACCCAAACAAAAAGAATTCCATCTACATTAAGTGGTCTTTGAAAATCACTTTTAGGAAGATCTAATTGTTAGAAATTATTTCCTTACATGAAGCCCAAATCTATCTTTCTGAAACTCCATCCATTGCTTCTATTTCTTCCTTTTAGGACCAAACAGAACAAGTTTTTAACCCCCCTCTTCCTTCCACATGATAGCCCTTTAAATTTTTTTTTTTTTTTAGTGAGGCAATTGGGGTTAAGTGACTTGCCCAAGGTCACACAGCTAGTAAGTGTCAAGGATTTGGTCTGAGGCCAGATTTGAACTCAGGTACTCCTGACTTCAGGGCTGGTGCTCTATCCACTGCACCACCTAGCTGCCCCTAGCCCTTTAAATTCTTGAAGATATCTATTATGTCTCCTCTAAGTTTTCTCTTCTCTAACCTCAACATACCCACTTCCTACAACCCTGAAGTCATTCATCACCCTAGTCATCCTCTGAACATTCTTTAGCTGACCAATGCCCCTCCTAAAATGTAGTACCAAGAACTGAACACATACTCCAGGTTCAATATGTCTAGGGCAAAATACAGTTGGATTATCACCTCCCTACACCTAGATACTGTGTCTCTCAGTGTAGTCTATGGTAAAAATATTTTTTTTCTTGCCATATCACACTATTGATTTCATATTGAGGCCTCCTTCAAAATTGATTTGGAATCATTAATTATTACTTTTTAGGTTCATCTATTCAATTAGTTCCAAATCCACCTAACTACTACCATCTGAGACAAAATGTTCCATCTTATCCACAAGAATGCATGAAAAAGTGTCAAATGTTTTGCTACAATTTAGGTAGATCATCTCTGGTGCTTGCCTGATCTACCAGTTTAATAACCTGTCAAAAAATAAAAAGGAAATAAAGTCATACTGATATTTCCTGTGCTGTATAAAACCATGCTGGTTCTTTGTCATCACCACTTCCTTTTCTGGAAGTTCATTAATCATCCCTTTAATAGTACATTCTAGTATTTCTCCAGGAATTGAAGTGAAGCTCACTGGCCTATAATTTGCAAAATCTATTTCCTTCTCTTTTTTATTTTTGGAAATTGAAGGCAATATTTACTTTCCTCCAATCTTGGTGTACCTCTCCTATTCATCAATATCTTTCAAAGATCACTGACAGTGTTTCATCAATAACATTTGCCAGTTCTCTCAGTACCTTAGGATATGGTTTTTCTAAGTCTGGTGACCTGAATTAATCAAAGGCAATTATTGTCCTTTGTTTTCATTTTCTGTACATTTTTTTAAGATTTTAAATGGGCTGATGAGTTCTCTCCATATTCAACAACTCAACAAACATTTATTGATCACCTATCAGGGGCTAGGGATAGAAAATGGAACTATGATTTCATGGATAGAAAGATCTTTCAGATGAGGAAATTTCCTCTACCAATGCAGATCAGTGTTTTATCAGCAACAGATAATACATAATAATACATGTTAAGTAAATTAGCTTTATGTGACGTTTGAGGGATGAAGTCATTATCATTGTGGGATGAAGTCATTATTGATAATACCACAGGATACCTTCACTGTGAGTCTTCCAGAGATGACGGATGGTTCAAAACTTGGTCCTTATCCTCATTAACATCTGGAGAAAGACTAGTCTCAAAATTAAAGGATCAGAACTAAGAAATAACAAACGGGGGCCAGCTAGGTGGCACAGTGGATAGAGTACCGGCCCTGGATTCAGGAGGACCTAAGTTCAAATCTGGCCACAGACACTTGACGCTTACTAGCTGTGTGACCTTGGGCAAATCACTTAACCCCATTGCCTAGCCCCCCCCCCCAAAAAGAAATAACAAATGGGAGAAATAAGAGATGGGGGAGAAGTGAAGAAGGGCTATGGGTGATCATGAGCTTTACTGAGATTATGGACCCTATCTATTTTGTAGATTGGCTGATCCTACAGGTTCCCTATGCCATGGTGTTTGAGGGTGAACAACTAGTGATACGCTGCCGAGGCTGGTATGACAAAGTTGTTTACAAGCTCCACTACTACAAGGATGGGCACGTCATGCGCTACTTCCAGTCTAGTGCCAACTACACGATACCCCATGCACAGGCCAGTGATAGTGGACACTACCAGTGCTCAGGAACCCTGCGTATCCCAGTGGAGAGTACCCCTATGTTCTCTGCCAAGGTGGTGGTTACCATCCAAGGTATGGAAACAAGACACCAGTCTCATTGCTTGGGGATAAGAGTGTGGGGTAGGGGCTGGGAAAATACATACAGGGGTGGATAGAAGAGTAAACAATTTTTGGCTCAAAAGGAGAGAAGGCCGATACCAATTCTAACCTGCAAATTTCTCTTCTATGTGAGGAACAGAATGACCCCACTAACCCACCCTTCCCTTCTCCTTTGACCTTCTCCATTCACATCCCATTCCTCCATTAATGAAACTGGGAGCTGTCAGCAGCCTGTATGGTGTGCATTGCACCCAAAAACTACCCAATTCAATGAATTCCTTATTGAGACACTGAAAGCGAATAACCCCACACAGGGAACAAATCATCTCCTGTGATGGGCAGCGACTGCTACACCCCTGTCCAAATCTCCCACCTAAAGCTGGAACAATGACCAGGAGCATGGGGAACCATGCTGAGACTTCATAATCTTTAATAATACTTTCTAACTTTCTTGTAGCAGTATCATTTATGCCTAGGTGCATTACCAGAATGCCACAGTAAACCTGCCTAACCCTTGCTCCCTTCATTCCTTTCTGTACCCAGACTCTGTATGCCTGGTCACCCCACTATGGGATGGCTAGGCTGGAGCTGTGGCCCTCAGGTCACCCAACTCCAGCTCTCATCACCTCCACTACAGCCACTATCCATTCCCAAGCGCAAGCCTCCATCCACCCCAGCCTCCCCTTTCTTAGCCTGTTCTACAGCAGTGTTCTGGATTTGTCTGTCCTCTTCTCTAGAGCTGTTTGCATCTCCCGTGCTGAAAGTGGTGCACAAACCTGAGTCCCGCAGTGGGGGTGGGGTGACCCTTCGCTGTGAAACAAGTCTGCACCCCCAGAAGCGGGACACGCCGCTGCAGTTTTCCTTCTACAAGTACAGCCGCCCTGTGCGCCGCTTTGACTGGGGAGCTGAGTATACCGTCCCGGAAACTGAGACCGAGGACCTGGAATCGTACTGGTGTGAAGCTGCCACTGTGGCCCGCAGCGTGCGCAAACGCAGCCCTTGGTTGCAACTCTCAGGGAAGGGTGAGTGACTCCTAGTTAGCACCCCACTACGCTCCACTTCCCCAACTCACACTCATACTCTCTCATCATCTGTCCCCCACCCAACTCCGAAACACGTACACAAGCGCCCCAAGACCATTCATCCTCAATTCCAACTTTCAACATCTCCTAATCATGGTCCCACTTCTTTTCTCCTCTCCAACCCCTGTAGGGCAACTCTACACTAATAAACAAGGGTCCTCACACTGTGAACAGTGGAAGGGCCCAAGTGATGGGACCCAGTAGGTTTATGTGGTTCATTCTCTATCATTTGACAGGTTCCTTCTCCAGCACATCGTCCATCACAACCCGAGCTCCTGTACCAGCAGCCATATCCAAGAACCCCATTTCAAAGCCCCTCTCCTTCAGAAAGCCTCCTGATCCCAGATCTGTGCCCTCCATCACCTCTGCCCCAAACTCCACCTTGACCAGGACCCTTGCCTCTATGCCAAGCATTCCCACTCCTGGGCCCACTGCTTGCACTCCTCTAACATCCTTGGGTCAATCTACCTACTCTTTGAAGTCCAACATGGACCTATTCCTTCAGGAAATGCAGCTGCTTAAAGGCCTTCTGAGACAAGTGGTACTAGAGCTGAAGGAGCCACACACAGTTTTGGGGCTCAGAGGGATACCAGAAATACCTATCTTAGATTTGGGGGTGAGCCCAGCCACTCCAGAGGTCACAGGAAGGGGTTAAGGCAAGGACCAACCTAGTGGGGTGCTTCTTGCCACTATCTAGGCTGGCTAGCTTTTGGTGGGAGTCTGGGGTTGAAGTGTGACAATTATTAGGAGAACAGAACTTGAATCTTTCCAGTGAATTGGGGGGACTGGCCAATGAAATTCCAGTCCTCTTCCATTACACCTTCAGTCATCCAAAAAGCACATTCTCCTTAAAGAAGCTATCTTTCTTACCTTTTGGCCCCTGTGGTTTTAAACAATCACCAAGTGATCTTAACTGATGTCAACTATCCTATATGTCACTATTTAGTTACACAAGAACAAAGAGCTTTGCAACCACACGTTTTCTGCTCCTATTCCTCCTTCTTTCCATCATCCTTCTTTCCCTATTACTCTCCCTTCAGCCTCCACCCTTCACCTCCAAAATATAACTAAACATAAATTATTTCATCTAAGTTTGTGGTTTGGTGTGAAATTCTAGATTGTTTAAATTCTTAACTTTCCACCATGTTCCAGCCATTGTACATCAAATGAAGGCAAGTTTTAGCACTAGTAACTACTGAGGCACTTTAGAACCTTCTGTTGTTAGCAGGAAGTTGTAATTACATAGTGAATTCAATCACTGCTGTCATTAAAAAAGATTTTCAGTTCTGCTGTTAGCAAGTCTTGAAATTCCTGGGAAAAATTTGTTCTGTTCAGTTTTGGATAGGGTCTGGGAGAACGTAGAGAGTTTTGTGGCATTCTCATCCCTCTGCTGCAGATGGAGAAAAGGATTCAAACTTCTCTTACTCTTAGCCAGAAGTAGCAGACCCTGAAGTCAGGCATATGATATTGCCAGATGACTTTCTCTAACAGCAGGAGGGCAATGTTTTGCTTGGAGCCCCAGGAATGATCACCAGAGAACACTCTCTGAATCAGAGAAAACACCTGCTTCTATAAACTGCTAAGATGGCTAGTTTAAAATCAGAAGATGAGTCAGGCAAATCTTTCTTTGATCTAAGTGAACACTTTCCTAATTCCTGAGGTCCTTCCAGGATTTTTTCCCCCTCTAGTTCTTAGTTCAGGAAAGATCTTTTCAGTTTTGGCTTCCAGCTCTGTGGTGGAGCTTCTCTCAATAGCTCAGTTCTCATCTCTCCCGAGAAACTTTCTCTGCTTGACTAGTTATTCTGTGCTAGGCAATGTATTTCTTTTGCCTCAGAATTTTTACTCTGTGGTTTTTCACAGCTACTTTCATTTGCCTCATTTATATCTACATTCTTTATTCCCCCTCTCTCCTGTCCTGGTTTCTATCTCTCTCTTCCCTTTGCTGTTTCTAAGACAGGGTGCTAAGGAAGTTCTGGAAAAGGAGTGACCACTTCTGTGTGAGGTGGGCGTGTTCTTCATTGATTTCCCACCCCAAACCTCCTACAGATTTAGAGGGGAAAACAGATAAGTTTAAACTTTTGGGATAGGAAGTAGGGGAAAACTCATTTCTACTAGTTGTTAACAAGCCCCTATTTCCCACTCTCACACATCCCCCAAACAGTATAATTTTCCCCAAGGATTCTGGACATCCATAATTCACAGTCTGAAGTCTTCACACTCATCTGGCTGATGTTCTGGGTACTAAATTTGCGAAAACAGACTGAAACGATTTAACAACAACAAAAAGGAGTGAACTAGGTTGTTCAAAGTATAGCATCCTCCTATGAGCTACCCCAACAATTCACAATCACCTTCTCTGAGTTTTAGGGCTATATTTCCAACATTGTTACTCCTGAGCCCTCACCAGAGTGCTTCCCACTAGCAATCAGCCAGACTTGTTTGTTTTGTTTTGTTTTGTTTTTTTTTAAGCAACATAATTTATTAAGGTGGTATTATAAGAATGGTTTGTATAAAACATTTCACCAAAAAGCCTAGGGCAAACTCTTCCACAATACACATTAAGTCTATTCTAAGAGTGGGCTCAAACTTAAGAGTATAAGGGTATTTAGGCATGATTGAAAAAGACACATGTGATAACGGAGTTCTTTCCAACTCCTGGCTCTGGAAGTCTTTTTTCCTTTGCCTTTGTAGAGTTCTCCAAAGTTCCCTTAAGATGGAGCTTGCAAAGTGGGCCACTCAGCTGGGCTCCCAAGATCGGTGCCTTTCTAGGGTCCATAGCCAGAATTCTTCTCTCATACAAGGAATTATACTCTCTGAAGCTACTGTTGTCCTTGATTGACCATCTTTATGCATTTTTCTACAACCATTTCCACTGCTATTGGCTACTACTACTACAGTGGCTGCTGCTGCTGCTACTGCCACCATGGGACCGCTGATGGGACCTCTATATTCCACAAAGTCACAGAGTTGCCTAGACATTTCTATCTCATAATACACATTCACCTAAAATCAAGAAAGATATCATTGCCCCTCTCCCACCCAGTTCTTGAGACCAGCACAAAATAGTGCTGCCTCCCTTACAGCTGCAAAGAAAAGAAAACAATATAATGATAGACTGGCCCTTTTATAGACCCACTCAGTTACAGTTCAACTACCCCAGAGGCATCAGTTCTTCTGGCTCCACAATTAGAAGACTTTTCATCATTACACAGTTCTGTGTAGTTGCCTGGACTGAAACCAGGAAGAGAAGAGTTGGTACAAATTATTCCCCTCAAAAGTCTGTGACAAACTCTCCCACCAGTACCTCTAGAATCCAGGGAAAATGGGATCAAGTATAAAGGGCATATGTGGCAAGAAAAGAACAACTCTCTTACTAGCTCAGTGACCCTGGGCAAGTCACTTAACCCTGATTGCCTCACCAAAAAGCAAAAAAAAAAAAAAAAAAAAAAAAAAAAGAATAACTCTCAGCTAAGAAGTTCTTTTCTCTCTCCCCTTCATGGGGTACTAAAGAAGTTTCCCACTGGCACATGGTAGCTTTCTGCTAGCCTCTCTGTGGAGTATTGAAGCTTTCTTACCCTCTCATCTGTTGTCTAGTTGGTCCCAAAGTGATGCAGTCAGGTTGACAGCTACTGCTTTTCTGGGGACATTGATAGGATGCTGATGGAAAGTCCAAAATTCTCTGGACCTTTCAAAGCTCACAGGTCCTCCTCCAGCCAAGGGTAGGACAGGGAGACTGAGACTGAGACCTTGGCCAAAGCTCTTTTCCCTACATCCTGAGCAATTTATTATCAGGGTTTGGCTGGAAGCCACTATCTGTCTGCTGTTATATGCTTGAATCCCTGGGTCCAAACTGGTCCGCTATTTTATACAAAACCCACAGAGTGTGTCTGGGTATCCCCAGTGTGTCATATTTTACTTCGTCCAATAACCTCCTTCCAAACTGATTGAAAACTACACACATGCACACTAGTTAAAATGTCTTAGATTAATTGATACAATAGAGACATTTATAAGTTGTTCACATCTTGTTCACACCTCTGAGTAACTCGTTATTCTAATGGACAAAGGCATTGGGTATTATGTCATTTATTTTAAGTGCGGTGGGATAATTGGTAGATTGCCTCACTTGACCCCAACTCTTACAAATTCATTCATTCATTTACCACGTATTTACTGAATACCTATAATTTATAATATTTTATTTTTCCCCAATTACATGTTAAAGCAATTTTTTTAACATTTTAAAAAAAGTTTTGAGTTCCAAATTCTATCCCTCCCATCTTCCTCCACTCCTCCCTCCCTGAAATGGTAAGCAGTCTGATATAGTTTATACATATGAGCACCTGTAACTTAGCAGACACTGAGCCAAGTGATAGGAATAAAAGATAAAAACCTCAAACCCTTGATTTTGTCTTTGCATCCCTAGCACAGTGCCTAGTTACCCTAGTACATAGTAGATGTTCAATAAATTGTTATCAAATTGAATTCTTCTTGTGAGGAAACAAGTATATAGATAAGTAGATACAAAATACATACGAGACAATATGAGAAGTTCCTAACAACAAGACACCATCAGGAAAGGCATCACGTAGGAAATGCCTCTTGATCTGAGCTTTTCAGCAAGCTAGGATCCTAAGAGGCAGAGGTGAGGAGGGAGCACATTTAAGATGACAGAAAGTGAAACTATTCAAATCCTGTTTTCCTCCCACCTTCACCATTAAGAACTACATTCACAGAAACTGGAAGAAACAAACTGGGCTAAGAAGGAATCCTCATCTCTAAAATGAGGAAGTTGGTCAAGATAGAATTAAATGGCTTTTTTAGCTCTAAGGTTTATGATCCTAAGACAAATTAGAAGCAGAACAGTGAAAAGTATGGTATATACAGAATCAGTAGAGACCAGGGTTTGAATGCCACCTCAGGCATTTTCTAATTGTATGACCACCAGACAAGTTGCTTAACATTTCAGAGCCTCAATTTCCTCATCTGTTAATTGGAGATAATAACACTTAAAATATTTACTTTTCAAATATTAAAGTACCATCTAAATCTCTGCTATTAATATTATTGTTACTTCCAAGACAGGTAAAGAGATAGCAAAAAGTAACTAGCTAGTTTAAATAAATTCAAGTCTCTAGGCCAAGATGAATTATATCCCAGGATCTTAAAATAATTTATACATGACATTAAAGAACCATTTGAGAGATCATGGAGAAAGGGAGAGGTGCCAGAAAACTGGATCAAGATGGGTTATATGTATCAGTTTTCAAAAAGAGGTGAATTGCTAAAATTATTAATAGATTTGACATAGGATCCAAATTCTTAAAATGCAATACTTCAAAGCATGTATGATCTCCTTCGTGTGAGTATTTCATTCTTCAGTGCAGCTCCTAACTCATCCATACCTTCTCATATTCTTCAACTCTGTCCATGTCCTGCCTCTTTAAAAAAATAAAAATTGCATTTTCCCATCTTGCCCAGGCTGGAAGTGCAGGGATTATTCATGGGTTCAATCCACTACTGACTAGCATAGAAGTTTTTATCTGCTCCATTTCTCAACTGGGTTGGCTCACCTTTTCTAGGCAACTTGGTAGCCCCTGACCCCTGGGGACTTACCATTGTGATGCTGAACTTAGTATAGACATATGATCCATT